TGTGTGTGTGTGTGTGTGTGTGTGTGTGTGTGTGTGTGTGTGTGTGTGTGTGTGTGTGTGTGTGTGAATGTTATGACCAGGCGGGACGCATCCGTCAGCTGGAAGTTGATGTAGCCAGGCTGAGCTCAATAGCTGTGTCGAGAGGTCATGAGCGGGAAATCATGGCTATGGCAGGACTGAGCTCACCTTCTGAAGGACGTGCTTTGAGCTCAAAGTCCTCGCGAGGGAAAGTGAAATCTGATTTTAGATCTCCCACCAGAGGGCGCAAGGGTCGGCGAACAGCACGTATGCGCGGTGGTGGTACCAGAACTCAGTCTGACCCTGGCATTGTGAGGCGGGTGAGGAGCTCTAAGCGTAAAAGAGGCGCTGCAGGGCCACAAGGTGGCCAGGGCCGTCCGGGCAAACGAAAAGGAACACAGAGCAGAGAGAGTGCTGGAAAAGGAGTACGACTACTTGGTGGACATTCATCTTTGACATACCAGGGGTCCCAAACGGAGAGATCTTCTGCAAGCGAGACTGAGTCATTTACCACGGCAGCAAGGGCAAGCAAACCATCTGTGCGGGGAGCAAAGAGCAACAGGAAAGGAGCACCTGTTCCGAGCCTTGATGTTTCTAGTGTTAGGAAGGGGGGGGTGAAGAAGCGTCCAAAAAGTCGAGGAGGAAGGTCCAGAATTGAGGATTCCTCTCAAGGGGGGGGAAGTGACACTGCATACCCACCGACCAAGCCATCGTCCTATAAAAGTCCGAAGTCCAAGTCCAAGTCAAGACCAGGGACAAAACTAGCCATCGATGTGAAGAGCAGCGGGTATAATACCAGCACGGGAGACCGAAGTCCAATGTCTGGCTCCAGAACCTCTACTAATGTAACTGTATTGGGTGCGACAAGGGAGGGGACACCACAGCGAGGTGGTACTCGTTCGGCAAGTCCTGCAATCAGCTCAACAGTAACTTCTACAAGGGTGACCTCAAGGGAATCTTCCCCTGCAAAAGGGTTTGCTTCCTCTATGAAAGGAAAATCAGACAGGTCGACGCCTCGCTCCAACTCCAAGTCGCCCCTTCGGCCGTCTACTTCTCTTAGCCCAAAGGCAGTCTCCAAGACAGGATCTCGTAAAACATCTGGGTCACGGTCAAATACACCTCAACGTTCGAGGTTTACGTCACCGGCAGATCGAAAGGCAGAAAGTGACGGTACAGCATGGCGAAGTAAGGGGCAATCATGACAAGGCAGGCTACACAAAGGCAGAAACGTGCCCAGCTATAATGAACACCCCTCGTTCAAGTTGTGTTGCTTTCAGCACTTGTGCTTGTACCAGGGCTTGGACAGAAAGGACAGAAAATAAATCACCAAAGCCAGAGTCGCGGACGTTGGCTACAGAGAGAGAGTCTTCACCCATGGTTGGAGAGAGGGAGGAGGGGCGCAGAGGAGCGTTGGTGGGAACACTGGGAAGGCTCGGGGGAGTTTGGGAGGTCTACTGAGATCAAAACCGTGAGGTGTATGGTATATCAAAGCAGCAGTGCAGTCTTCTGAGGGCGGAAAAAACGCAATGGCATGACTTGAATGCCACAGTTTTGATGGGTGATGCTGGCGAGATCCTAACTGGTCGAAGCGCATCCATTGTAACAACACTAAGTCTTGCTGCCTTCCGGACGACCCTGCAGCAGTATGTGCTTTGAGTTCACTCCCCTAGTAACTGAGTCTTAATGGCTTCTTTGCCTGTTGTCATAGTACCCACAGCCTTCTCTCCCTGTTTTCCGCACCCAGGCTAAGTCAGGGTGCAAGGACAAAGAGACACGCAGGGTCAAGCTCCACCGAGTGATGATTGTGCTGGTCTGCATGTAGGCCTCAGCACGATTACAGCCTTGCTAGAGGAGCCTCTCCTTCAGTACCTTGATAATGATTCTATGTGCGGCCTATCATATCATGCATGACCCACTAGCATTTGTCTCCCACAATGGCAGTTTGAATCAGATCAACTCTTATCCCAAATCCCATTCCCCATTCCACTTCCAGTCGTTGAAGTCTTCCTTTGGCAAATTTGCGAAACAGATTTTGTACATCGATGAGCAACCATGTTTCATCATTTGCACTGGCAAATCACTGAGAAGTAAAGCACTCTTCCCCTCGCTTCCAGACGAGCGATGATAACAGCCCTTTAATCTTCTCCAGTCGTCATCGTAGCTTAATGCAGACCTTTCATCACCTCAGGTACAAACCTCAGGTATGAGCCATTAGCAGATTTGATAGGCCAGTACCTAGTCAGAAGTTGTCGACTGCCGTTAACCAGTGGTCAGCATTGTATTAAGCGGATCCCGTTGCACGCCTACTGTCAGGACGGAAATGACGCTGCCGAACCTGGTTTAGGCACATGCTGTAGCACTGCTACAGTCCAGTATTGACTCCAGCATGTTGGTAGTTGGACCTGCTACCTAGTGTGATGCGATGCCCTTAAACCGGTTTTGGTTTAGCCAAGCCTGGGTAAGCTTAAACCACGCTTGATTTAAGCTCGGCTCTTGTCTCATCCAGATTCTAAATCATAATCCCAGTTCTTCCGCTGCCCGCATGCAGATCTGAAACAGGATTGCTGAAGAAGTTCTTCCCAAAAACTTCAGTGCATATGCACATCTGATAGCGCCCATGATGCCAATGAGCTAGTGCGAGCTCAGCCACACTGTGGCTGGCCAAGGCAGTCGTTCCACTGCATTAAAAACAAAGCAATACCAGCCGATCCCTCGACAGTAGATTTGGTACATCCACAGACGAAAAGATGTAGCACGATGTGATTCCAGTGTAATCTAACAAGCCCTAACCTTGAAGTCAGAGAACGAGGAGAGCTGGTCTCTGTATTGCAGATTGGCAGCATGGCAATCCTCTTCAGGGTGTCTCTGAGGTATATTTGATCGCAAGATGGACGAGCTGAAAGAAGGAGCCGTATAGTCAATTGAATGGTTGGCTTGTGTCAGCTGGTTCACCATTTCTCGCCTTCTTCATTAGCTTGATGGCACTTCGACTTCGTTTGGTGAGATGGACAAGGTCTTTTTAAGGGCACGCATTGGGGACCTTGACGGCCAGCACTGTGGTGTTCGATATCCTAAATGCACCATCCTGACGGCTAACACTTCAGCGTCCAACTTCACCATAACACAGCCGTACCCTGACGGCGCTGACACCCAACACTTCCTGTGTCCTGTGTCATTGGCAACACGTGTCGTAAGAAACTGTACAGTGGCATAATAGCAATTCAGCGGAGATGTAATGATTCCAGACCATCACCGCAGAGCAGGAGGAAGGCGGAGATCCAGGCGCAGGACTAGAGACAGTTAATTGACCGAGCAAATCAGATCAAGATTGCTTCATTATATCCAGCCTGGTTGTGGAAGGCAACCGTCACCGAGTTCTCTGACTGGGAGAGTATGTGATTTCCTTTTTTATTCTGTTTCTTTTACATAGTTGTGTCAGCAAACAAGCTCTGCTGCAGCAGTGTGGAAGAGTCAGATTTTCGGATATAGATCTAATTGATAAATGGTGAGGCAGGAGGAGGAGGAGGAGGAGGGGGGGAGGAGCATGAGGAGGTTGCTGAGGGGAGACCTGATATGTGCATGGCCAGAGTATTTATAATGTTTCTAGCTAACAGTTTGGGCATGCGCTATGTAGATGTGGCACTTTTTCGAGTTGCTTCAACATAATTCTATCTGTTGGAGTAGCTCTGCAACAAGTGAGATGCTTTTTGTTCTCTACGTGTCAATGCTCCTGAAATGAAATGGAAAATGCAATGCAGTAGTGTTTTTTCAACTTCTCAGCTCTTATATCCTTTCTGCTGACATCCTTTGTCCAGTCTGGCAGTGTCTGCTAGCCACAGATCTTGATTTTTAATTTTTGTTTTGGTAATTCCAGTGGAATTTTCTTCAATTTCAATGTGATCCTCATGATGTGTCGAGTGTTAATATTCATTGTCGATTGCGCATGTTGGCTTCCCGCATTTCTCATTCCTCATTTCTGATGTTCTGTGCGTTTGCTGCTGCTTTGGGCCTCATTTCTAATGTTCATTGTTCTGTGCATTTTGGTTACTTGAACTTGCTTTCAAAGGATTCTGCAGCTGCGGTCGTGTTTGCTATCATATGCATTGTTGGCAATGTTGGCCGATCATGTATTATCTCGAAATGGTTTGGCTTGCCTGAACTTGGCTCTGGCTCTGTATTGCGATGTTTGGTTAGTGTAGGTTATTCATTTGCTTACATGTGATTAATGAATGGCTCAAGGCCGTTCAGGAAATGAATATACGAAAGCTTGGAGCACTGCCTCATGTGGGTGGCTGTTCATCAGCCATGGTATAGGCTGTGTTGAGTATGCAACGATTGAGGAGACGGACCCATGACAGCAGCGACAAAAATATATGAACCAACCAAAGGGAGAACTTCGGTGACACGGGAGAGGTATGTTGGTGAGCCTTGCATGGTAAAGTGGGTAACCAAGGTCCCTTGGATCATGCAGGATTTTCTCAGCAGCAAATGTGTGAAGCTATGATCTGTATGCAGAACAAATGTCACTGACTGTCCACTTGATTCATCTTCCTCCCTTCCTCCCTTCCCTCCTCTCTTCCTCCCTGCCTTGCCCGTCCACTTGCCATTTCTGCCCTCCATCCCACCTCTCTCCCTCACTTCCTCCCTTCCTCCTTTCTTCTCCCCTTCCTCTTTCCCTGTACGTCACTGGCTCTTCTCTCTTCCTTCCTTCTTTCCCTCCTTCCCTCCCTTCCTGCCTCCTCCTCCCTCCTGCCTCCACCCTCTTCCCACTCACTCCTTTCCTTTCTTCTCCGTCCGCTCTCTCCTTCCCCTGTCCCTTCCTCTCTGCGTTTCTCCCTCTGTCCCTACCTCCATCCCACCCTTCCTACCCCGCTCCCCTTCCTTCCTCCCTTACTCCCCCCTTATTCCCTCCATCCCTTCCTTCCTCACTCCTTGCCTCTTCACTTCATCCCTTTCTCCTTGTCCCCCTGTCTCCCTCATCCCTCACTCCCTTCCTTCTCTCTCCTCCTTCCCTCTCTCCTGCCCTCTCTTGATCCCTCCCCTCCTCCCTCTTCCTCCCTGTCTCTCTACATCATTCGCTCACCCCCTTTCTCCTCCCCTCCCACTCGTCCCTTCCCCTTCTCTCTTCCCTCTCCCTCTCTCCCTCCCTTTGCTCTGTCTCCTACCTTCCCTCCCTTCCCTCCTTTCCCTCTGTTCCCTTCGTTCCCTCCGTTCCCTCCTTGCCTTGCTTGCCTCCCTCCCTCTCCCTACCTTCCCCCCACTTTACTTTTCACTCTCTTCCTTCTTCCCTCCTTTCCAGATGTATGTCCCTCCCTCCACCTCTCCCTTTCCCCAGTCTTTCCTCTCTCCTATCCCTTTCCTTCTGCCCTACCTTTGCCGTTTCTTTTCTTTCCCTTGCTTCACCCCTTTCCATATCTTTTCTCTCTCTCACCCTTGCTTCCTTCCAGCCTTCCTGCCTGCCTCCTTCCTTCCACCCCCCATCCTCCCTCACATTATCCTTTTCTTCTTCCCTTTGTACCGCACCCTGCCCTTCCTCCGTTCTTCCTTTCTATCCCCCCTCCTCCCTCCGTCTGTCCCTCCCATCATTTGTCCCTTCCTCTCACCTTCCCACACTGTGTGGCTGCCCGCTTGCCTGCCTTCTCTCCTCCTCTCCGCCTCCATCCGCGTGTGTCCCTCAATCACTCCCTTTCTCATCCCTCCTCTACCTTTCTGACTTCTCTCGCTTTCTCCTTTCCATCCCTTTCCCCTCCCCTCCCTACCTCCGGCCCTGCCTTACCTGCCTGGCCTTCCTCCCTCCCCTTCCTTTCCTCCCTGGCTCTCTGCCTTCCCCCCTCTCTCCCTCTCTCCCTTCTCTCCTCCCTCCTCCGCTCCCGCCTCTGTTTGCACTCCTTCCCTCCCCTTGCTTGACTTCCTTCTCCCTACCCCCTCCTTCCAACCCCTCTCTCTTTCCCCTCTTCCTCCCTACCCTTCTTTCTCGGTTGCCTCCCTTTTCCATCCATCCCTTGCCTTGCTTCCTTTTCCTTCCCCCTTCCCTCCTTATCCCTCTATTGAATGGACCCAAGATTGGACGGATGGATGGTTTGAAGGTTGGGTGGATAGATGGATTCAAGACCGGCTGGATGGATGGTTTCGAGATTGGATGGATGGATTCAGGATTCAATATTCAAGATCGATTCACTGATTGGTTGGTTGGTTGAAATTTTGAAACGAAAGAAAAAACACACGCTGAAACGAAAAGGAAAAAAAAGCGGACAAAGTTGTCGGCAAACACAGGTTCTGTGCGCATTATTGTGTGTGTGTGTGTGTGTGTAAGGGTGTGTCACGCGCAAGGCGTCAT